TCAGGGTTGATGTGACCCCCGTGAGCCCAGCACCGCAGCACAGCTCACGCTGACCCCACCGGGGCCACAGGCAGCAGGTGACAGAGTTCAGCTCTGCCACCCCCCCCCGTGCCTCCCCCTGGCACAGCACCAAGCACAGCACCAAGCACAGGCGAACCCTCGCCCTTGGCAGTGCCCTGTGCATGAGGCAGCGCCAGAGGCGGTGACCGGAGGTGATGCTGCACGGCCGGGGGATGCAGCCCCTCCATCCCAAATCCAAGCCCTAGGGCAGCCGATGGAGCGCTCCAGGCAATCCCCCAGTGCCCACGATCCTTCTGGGAGCCACCCATGGGCCTGCACACCCCCATTCCCATGGGAAGAGGCCGGCAGCAAAGCCCTGCAGCACCTTTCCGACCGCTTCATGGCTCTTTTAGCTGGTTTTAGCCCAAGAAAATGAGGGATTTGCCTCTCGCAATCTCCTGCCGGCTCATTCCGAGGGAGCTGAGGCAGATTCCTGCCTGGATTACGCCTGGAGCAGCCTCTGCCTGATTAATCTGCCTGCGAGGAATCCCTGTCCGTGACTCCTGCTTGCCGAGCTGCGGGCACTGGATTTTTCCAGGCTCCTGTGTGGATGCATCCCGGCCTCCGGGGCAGCACCGCTCCAGAGATGCTCTCTGCTGAGCACCAAAACCAGCAGGATTGGGATGCCCAGAACTGCCGGTTCTTCCCATCCCCCTGAGGAGCAGCTCCTGCAGCAGCAGCGATGTCTGCTTTGGAACAGGGAATTCCGGGATCAAGGGAGATTTGGTGTTTTGGGGGTATCGCACACACCCCCCCCCCCCCAACAGCCCCATCCCTGCGGGGGTCTCTGTGCCCCACGCATGGGCTGGGTCCTGCTGGGAAACACGGCTCCAACGGGCTGAAAGCATCCATAACCCCCTGGTCCTGGATCAGTCCCTCTCGGAGCTGCAAAAGGCCTCAAGGAGGATGGGGGGCTCCGAGCAGAGCCTTGGGGTGCCGCTGCCCGCGGGGGACCCCGGGATCGGGGGGGGGGGAGGGAGAGGGCACCCCATGGCCGGGGCCGCCGCGGCACAGAGCGGATAAAGCCGGGATAAAGCCGGGATGAGCGCAGCCGCCATGGACCCCCCGGCGGGTCCAATGGGGGGGGGCACTCAGACCCACACATACAGACCCACACACACACACAGACACAGACCCACACACACAGACCCACACCCCCCGCAGGCTGCAGAGCCCCATGCGGCTCATCTCACTGGTGCATCCATATTGAGCTGCGGGGGGGCACTGGGGGCTGTGTGCGTGCCCCCCGCACCCTCACACAGACACACTGGGGGGGTTGGGGGGGGGGCAGCACCCCTATAAGCACCCGCTTGTGCAGACGCGCAGCCCCGCATTACGCAGCCTCACCCGAAGAGCCCCCGCAGGAAGGAGTGCGAGCCCTTCACCCGCTTCTCGGCCTCGGCCATGAGCTGCACGGCCTCCCGCTCCTTGCCCGTGCTGTCCATGGCGCCCTCCGGCCTGCGCCTGCCGCCGCCTTCCTCCTCCTCCTCCTCCTCCTCCTCCTCCGCCCTCCCTCCGCCGGCGCCGCACCGCGGGCGCGGGCACGGGCACGGGCAGGCGGCGGCGCGCGAGGGGGTGCGGGTGCGTCACGCACGGCGCGGTGCGGGAGCACGAGGGGAGGGCACGCGCTGCGCCGGGCGCGGGCATGCAGTGAGCGCGGGTGCACGTGACCCGGGTGCATGCAGTGCATGCAGTGAATGCGTGTGCACGTGATCCGGGTGCATGCAGTGCATGCAGTGTATGTGTGTGCACGTGATCCGGGTGCATGCAGTGCATGCAGTGTATGCGTGTGCACGTGATCGGTGTGCACAGTGCACGGTGCATGCAGTACATGCGTGTGCACGTGACCCGGGTGCAGAGTTCACAGTGCATGCAGTGTGCGTGTGTGCACATGATCCGGGTGCATCCTGCATGGTGCATGCAGTGCATATGTGTGCACATGAGCCATGTGCATGGTACATGCAATGCATACGTGTGCACATGATCTGCGTGCACAATGCACATTCCATGTTGCGCATTGCACGAGGTATGATACATGTACCATGCACACTGCACCATGCATGGTGCTCAACACATGGTACACACTGCATGTTGCACAAGCCATGATGCATGCTGCAGATTGCATGTTGCACATTGCATGGTGCCCACTGCATGCATTGCACAGTGTGTGTTCCATGATACACACTGCACAAGGCATGATACACACTGTACAAGGCATGTTGCACACTGTACAAGGCACGTTGCACATCACCCACTGCATGTGCACGATGCACCTGGCACGTTGCACACTATATGCTGCAAGTCACACCATGCACATTGCACGTGCACGACGCACGCTGTACATGACACGTTGCACGTTACACAATACATGCTGCATGCTGCACAACGTATGTGCACGTTGCAGCCTGTGCAGTGCATGCTGCAGTAACACTGCACACCACACTGCAGGATGCACACCGTGCAAGTGTGATGGATACACACTGCACACTGCCCATGGCATGGGCACAGTGCATAGTGCACGTTGCACACTATATGCCGCATGTCACACGATGCACATTGCATGTGCACGACGCATGCTGCACACTGCACAAGTTGCACGTTACACATGATGCATGCTGCACAATGTATGTGCACGTTGAGGACTGTGCAGTGCATGCTGCAGTAACACTGCACACTACATGCTGCAGGATGCACACTGCACAAGCATGATGGATACACCTGCCCGCCCGTGGCATGGCACGCACGTTGCACACTATATGCTGCAAGTCACACCATGCACATTGCACGTGCACGACGCACGCTGTACATGACACGTTGCACGTTACACAATACATGCTGCATGCTGCACAACGTATGTGCACGTTGCAGCCTGTGCAGTGCATGCTGCAGTAACACTGCACACCACACTGCAGGATGCACACCGTGCAAGTGTGATGGATACACACTGCACACTGCCCATGGCATGGGCACAGTGCATAGTGCACGTTGCACACTATATGCCGCATGTCACACGATGCACATTGCATGTGCACGACGCATGCTGCACACTGCACAAGTTGCACGTTACACATGATGCATGCTGCACAATGTATGTGCACGTTGAGGACTGTGCAGTGCATGCTGCAGTAACACTGCACACTACATGCTGCAGGATGCACACTGCACAAGCATGATGGATACACGCTGCACACCGCCCGTGGCATGGGCACTGCATGCACTTCATTGCACTATGCATGACACGTTGCAGGAATCACCCCCCGCAGACCCCCAGCCCCACCGCAGGGGGAGCAGGGCAGGCTCACCGGGCAGGGCTCTCCAGCAGCAGCAGCAGCAGCATCACCCACACTGGATTCGCTGTCCTGGATGCTCTCTGGGCCTTCTTCAGTGCTCTGGGAGCTTCTAGAAACTCTTCTCAGTGCCTTCAGCAGAGCAGCCCCACACACCTGCACCTACAGCCAGAGTCCATCCGCTCAGCACCCTCACAGCGTGCAGGAGGGTGAAACCCGTGCAGCTGCACTGCCCCGAGGCAGCTGGGACCCCTCACACCGCTGAAGTCACCTCTAAAGGTCAATTCAGCCCTGACCTCCCTGGAGATGTAGGGAAGGAGCCACGGCCGGGATGGGAGTGCTCCAGCTGTGGGGATACAGGAGCAGGGTCCGGCTCCAGCACTGCCTCAGGCAGACACCGGGGAGCCACAGGCACTGTGAGGGTGCTGAGGCGCTGGCACAGGGTGCCCAGAGAAGCTGTGGCTGCCCCATCCCTGGCAGTGCTCAAGGCCAGGTTGGACACAGGGGCTTGGAGCAAGCTGCTCCAGTGGAAGGGGTCCCTGCCCGTGGCAGGGGTTGGAGCTGGAGGAGCTCCCTCAGGGCCATGGCGTGACAGGGTGCAGGAGTCAGGGCATTAAACGCATGTTTTCTACCCCGCTTCCCCCGTGTCCTGCCCCCTGTGCTGCGCACAGGCCTGGTCCCTCCCTGTGTGGGGAAGGAGCTCAGCTGAGGAACCTCACCCAGGAGGAGAAGGGAGCCTGGAGCGGGAGAGGCAAAGGCTGAAATCTGCCCTTTCTGACCCATAAATCCGCTCCGGGCCCCCCCTCAGCTGAAGGGGGAAGCAGGAGCCTGGCCTGGGGCAGGCCCGGCCTGAAGTGAGGCCCCTCCGGTGTCCCCTGCCCTCATAAACCACCGACTGCCTCAGGCATGGGGCAGCAGCGCTATCCACACACACCCCCCCCCTCAGCCCCATGGACCCGGGGCAGGACGGCGGCAGCGGGAGGATGAAGGGGCCGAAGCGCCGGGGCTGCGCACGTACACACGGGGCCAACGAGGCCCCGACCCCGGCTCCACCGCTGAGGGAAGCGAAGGCCGCGGGAGGCCCCGCCTCCTAGCGCCGCCGGACTACAGCTCCCGGCGTGCCCTGCGCGGCGCGATGGCGTCATCTCCCCGCGACCACTGCTGTCTCCATGGAGACGCGGGGCCCGCGCCGCCGCGTCCCACCCGGACCAGGTCCCCGGCTCCATAGAGCGGGAGGGAGCCCGGGGATGGCGGCCGGCAGCGGGCGCTCCCCGCCCCGCGGTGACCGGGCTGTAACGCATCCCCCGCCGCCGCCCGCCCGGGGCCTGTCCCGCACCGCACAGCCCGGGCAGGCAGGAGGGAACGGCACCGGCACCGGGATCGGCACCGGGTCTCGCCGCAGGAAGGACCCCAGGGCCCCGGCCCCAGCGCCCCCCCGCAGGTCTGAGCGTGCCCGGGCAGGTGAACACCGGCCCTGCTGCGGCTGGGCTCGGGTAAGGGTGTCCGCATGGAGCCGCGGGGTGGGAGGTCCCGGAGCCATGGGTGCGCCATGGGCACAGCCAGAGGACACAGGGCTGAAGAGCTGGGGGCAAAGCGGCTGGGAGCAACTCAACCCAGCGCTGGCAGTGCCAGAAGCCGCCATCCAAACGCACTCATCCCAACTAACTCCAGGCTCTGTTTCCCTTCTCCAGGCAGGACAAAATGGAGCCATTTCATCTCTCTGCTCTCGGGCTCCTGACGGAAAACAAAGCCATTCAAAGGATCCTCTGCCCCATGGCAGCGCAGCTCTGCCACCTCCTCCTCGCCCTGGAATGGGAAGATGGGATTTGTCCTGACATAGGGCAGGATGCAGAAACGTTGGCCAAAGCCACAGAGGACCTCGCTGCTGTTGCAAGGAGGTGGGTTTGGGGTGCGCGTCCTGGGTGGATTTGGGGCTGGGAAGGGGGAGGAAGGGATGGCAAAGGAGCAGGATGAGAGCCTGCCCCTCCTGCCTGCATCCCGCTGGAGAGGTGGGAACGTAAGGAGGGAGGGATGGGGAACATGAGGAGGGAATTCCACTGGGAATGGAACAGGGGAGCTGGGACAGCGCAGGGACGTGTGCTGGGGGGGACGTGGTGAGGTACTCACGGGATGGCGAAGGGCTGAGCAGGGTGGGTTCTGCTCCAGGCTGGCTGAGGAGTCCGCAGATGAGCTGCTGCAGGAGGAGACGCGTCCCGCGGCCGAGGCCCTGGTGCTGGCGGGGAGGAAGGTGCTGCTGGCAGCCTGCAAGCTCCAGGGGCAGCCCCACAGCCCCGGCCCCCGGGGGGAGCTGGCAGCGGCCGCACAGGGGGTCCTAATGGAGACAGCGAAGGTAACAATGAGGGGATGGGGCTGGAGTGAGCCGGGGGTCGGGTGGGGATGGGAGGGAACACAGCACAAGAGGGATATGGAGCGGTTGGAGAGAGGCCATGGAGATGCTGCGAGGGCTGGAGCAGCTCTGCTCTGGAGCCAGGCTGAGAGAGCTGGGCTGGGGCAGCCTGGAGAAGAGAAGGCTCCTGAAGGGGAGACCTGAGAGCAGCTCCAGTGCCGCAAGGCCACTTTGGATGGGGCTTGGAGCAAGCTGCTCCAGTGGAAGGGGTCCCTGTCCATGGCAGGGGTTGGAGCTGGAGGAGCTTTAAGGTCCCTTCAGCACAAACCAGGCTGGGGTTCTATGACAGGAGCTGTCCTCCACCAGCCCAGCGCTGGGGCTTGGGGAAGCTGTAGATGGAGCAGTGGTGGCTTCCTCACTAGGGGATACCCACTGAGCGAAACACAGCCCTCCCCTCCCCTTCTGTGCCACCTCGGCTGCACAAGGGATCGAACACTGAACAGGGGCTCCTGAGCCTTCTCCCCTCTGAGCAGTTTTCCTGCTGTTCCCTCCCTGGTTAGATCCTTCGGCTGGGAGATGCTGCGGCGCTGAGGAGGATCCTGCAGGCTGCCAGCTGCCTCCTGGAGCGCCTGAGCGTGCTGCAGGGCGCAGGGGACAGGCCCGGAGCGCTGGCTGCTTTCCAGGCCTTCTCCGAGGCCCTGCTCCTGCTGAGCAGCCTGGCAGCACAGCGCCTCGAGGAACTGGGTGACTGTCCTCGACGGCAGAGCTTGGCTCGAGCCCTGCAGCACCTGCAGCAGCAGCTCCCGCTGCTCCACGCAGCCAAGGACAGGGATCTCAGCCACTCCAAGGAGAACGCCTTCCAGCTGGTGGAGAGGACCATCAAGGAGCTCACAGCCCTGCTCAGCGATGATACAGGCAGCAAGGAGCCACAGGACACGAGCGGGACCTTCTCCCGGCACGTGCACAGCCTGCTGGCTCTCCTGTCCCCCCCGGACCCCCTGCTCCTCTCTGACAGCACCTTCAGTGTTCACATAGGAGCAGTTGTTCTCCACTGCATGCTCCTGGCAGAGGCATCCAGGCCAGAGCAGAGGCTGGACCTGGTCAGACGCTGCTGGGCTCTGCTGCGGCTGCGGAAGAGCATCTGCAGCCTGGGGGGGCAGCAGGAGGGGGGGCCAGGGCTGGAGGGGCAGTGTCACAGCATGAGGGAGGAGGTGGAGAGCCTGGAGCAGGCAGTGCTCACAGCCACCCTGTGCCAAGTCCTCGACACCTTCCCCGAGGGTCAGGAGCCCCTCAGGCTGTTGGTTGAAGGTGCCCTCAGCCTTGCTGGCCCCGGGTGTTTTCCTGCGGGACAAGGAGGGTTTCTAAAGCAGCTTCAGCCCCTCACTGCTGCCTTCTTCACGCATGCCCAGGGGATGCTCAGAGCAGCAGACTTCGTCCTGGCTCTGTGCACCAAGCCCCGCACTGCTGCAGAGACCCAGGAGCTGGTGCAGCGCCTGAGGAGGCTCCTGGCCCACGTCCCTGCCCTGCTCACTGCAATGAGCAGCCGTGGAGCCCAGAGCAGTGCTGCTGAGCAGCTGCAGTCGCTGTACCTCGCCTGGGCTGGAACAACGCAGAGCCTCCTGTGGTGCTTTGAGGACACAGCCAGCACACGTGAATTCCTCAAGCTGTCCATCCGGGAGATGGCCAAGGACCGGGAATGCTGCGAACGGGCCCTGGGGAGCCAGGATGCCAAGGGTTTCTCCTGGCACGCAACCCACCTCAGCAGCTGGGCTCGGTGGGTGGTGGAAGCCACCACCAGGTACGTGGACAGAGCCACAGATCCCATCTTCAGGAATGGGTTGCTGGTTTGGGTCGAGCAGCTGGCCAGCTCCATCCCCGAGCTGAAAGCGGCTGCAGCCCTTTGTGCAGAGAGACTCTCCTGCCTCCGCACCAGGGATGTCTTTTCCAAGGCAGCGAGCTCCCTGATGGATGCTGCTCAGCGTGTCCAGGACGGGCTGGATGGGTCCAACCACCCAGACATCCTCAGCCCCCTGCGGGAACAAGTGCGAGGCGCTGGTGTTACACAGGGGGTTGAGCTCAGCCCACGTCATGCCGGGCTAAAACCCATTATGGATGAGGCTGTGCTGCAGCAAGACTTCTTGACTCCTCCATCTTCACCAGCAGGTAACTCACCCCCAAGGGAAGGAGCTGCACACCCCGTGATCGCAGCCCTCCTGGCAGCAACAGGAGCCCACGACACGGCCTTGCTCCGTGCTGCCTGCTCTGCCCTGCTCGAGCTCTCCAGCGGCTGCGTGCACGCAGCGAAGGCAGCGCTGCCCCTTGCCGAGTGTCCCCACAGGGAGACCCTGGGGCAGTACCAGCAGATTGAGCTCCTGACCCCACGGGTGATCAGCCTGGCCAGGGAAGCAGCCCCAGAGCAGCGCCCCTGTCCCACTGCACTTCTCCATGCGGCACTCACGCTCTCAGAAAGGCTCCGTGAGACCAAGGCGGGCCTGGGTGCCGTGGCAGGGCCCTGCTACACTCTGTCACAGCAAGTCTTTGCCTTCGTCTTGGCTGCTGACTCCCTGAGAGGCACACAGGCTTTGGAGGAGACCATGATGGGCCTAGCGGGAGCGGTTCAGTTTGCAGCACACACTGTGAGTGTCGCCTGCAGGGAGGGAAGCCCCCTTTCCCCTGATGCCTGGGAGAGCTTCCTGCGGGTCCAAGCCACGTTTTCACGCGCTCAGATGAGCACCAAAGCATTGCTGGAGAAGGCAGCATCCTTTGAGAGCTCCTGTGTGGTGAGCAGGGCCAGGCTGGAGCTGCTCTGTGTGCAGTGGGCTGTGAGCACACGCATCCTGCTGGCTGCTGTGGATCAGTTCATCGGCAGGGATGTGCTGCTCCTGGGGGAGCTGAGGAGCGCCGTGAGGAACAAGCTCTGCCCTCAGAGCCTCCTGGCTGCGGTGTCCGAGCGCTCCCTGAGGCTGCAGGAGGCTGCCCAGCTCTCCTCATGCTGCCATGGGCACAGTGAGATCCCAGTGCTCAGGGGGGAGATCCAGGTGCTGATGGAAGCGCTGCTGGAGGCCTCCAGCACCCTCCTGCTCTCCCCACTGCCTAATGCCAGCCTGTGCGTTCGCTGGGAGCTCCTGCAGAGGGACCTGGCCCTCAGGGCCAAAGCACTGCTGCTCCACCTGGAGAAGGCCAATGCCGAACACTTGCAGGTGATCAGGGACGTTGTTGAACCTGCCCTGATGCCCCTGCCCCAGGAGGAGAGGGAAAGGAGCAAAGAGGCCTTTGAAGAGAAGGCAAACAGGCTAATGGCAAACGTCCAGTGGGTCAGAACCACCCTCCACCGCGTTCTGGGGGTCAACGTTCAACTGGAGTTGGAGGCAAACCTGCTCTCCATCACAGAGCACCTCCTGGTCCTCACATCCAACGCAGTGGGCAGTGCCAGGCAGCTCTTCCAGAGCCACCGGGATGAGGAGCATCTCCACCTGGAGAGCATTGTCTGGTGCTGGTCTGCAGAGGCACACTACCTCCTCACGCAGCTTCAGGCTGTCCAGGGCCTCGGTGGGGATGTTCTGGAGCTCATCAGACACCGCCTGCAGAACACAGGGGACCAGAGCTTCCCAAGGCAACACAACAGCACAGCCAAGCTCTTCCCGGCCCTGGATGCTCAGAGCCACGCCAGGTCAGCAGGGACCTGCCCAAGCAGGAGTGGAGGAGCAAGTGGAGCTGCCAGGGAGGCACCTGCAATGGTACAGTAGCTTTTTCCCTGCCAGCTCTGGCTGCAGGGTGATGGTCAGGGCTGGCAGCCAGTCCTCACACTCGCACCATGGAGTGCTAAGGTAAGTGATGCTGCCACCGACCTGTGGAGGTCAATGCTCTGGCCCCGTGGTCACCTGCAAAGTCAGATCAGGTTCCTGCCGGCCTCAGTGCTGGATATCTGATCTGATGGCACTGCTGCATAAATAACCCATCCCCAAAAGGCTGCTCTGAGGAGCAAGGGCTCTGCTACACAGTCGCTGCCTGCTCCCCTCCAGTTCCACAGCAGCCACTGCTGGCTGTCAGGAGCTGGCAAAGGCCTCAGTGCCCAGCCCAGCTCACTCAGCAGTGGTGTAGAGCACTTCTCAAGCACACATCTGGAGATGGATCCAGGAGATGATGGATCCAGGAGATGATGGATCCAGGAGATGATAGCTCCAGGAGATGATAGCTCCAGGAGATGATGGATCCAGGAGATGATGGATCCAGGAGATGATGGATCCAGGAGATGGTGGCACAGGGAGATGATAGCTCCAGGAGATGATAGATCCAGGAGATGATAGCTTCAGGAGATGGTGGCACAGGGAGATGATGGATCCAGAAGATGATAGCTCCAGGAGATAGTGGCACAGGGAGATGATAGCTCCAGGAGATGATGGCTCCAGGAGTTGATAGCTCCAGGAGATGATGGCTCCAGGAGTTGATAGCTTCAGGAGATGATAGCTCCAGGAGTTGATAGCTTCAGGAGATGGTGGCACAGGGAGATGATGGATCCAGGAGATGATAGCTCCAGGAGATGATAGCTTCAGGAGATGATAGCTCCAGGAGTTGATAGCTTCAGGAGATGGTGGCACAGGGAGATGATGGATCCAGGAGATGATAGATCCAGGAGATGATGGCTCCAGGAGATGGTGGCACAGGGAGATGATGGCTCCAGGAGATGACAGCTCCAGGAGATGGTGGCACAGGGCACATGGATTTGACAGCCCACTGCAGGAGAAGGGCTGGTTGGGAAGGCAGAGCAGACCCAGGCAGTGGTGGCAGCTCTCCCATCTCCATCCCTCACCAAAACCTGCTTCAGAAACACACAGGCAGAGACTTCTCAGCACCTGCACACCCCAGGCGTGGAACCCATGCAGGTATTGTCTTGACAGCACCACAAGGGTCCTGCCAGCACCTCCCCTGCCAGGAGCCCGGTGAAGCACGAGAGACAAAGCAGTGACACAGGGCAGGGCGGCCCCAGCAAGATGTCCCAGGTCACCAAGGACACAGCAGCAAGGATGCTCCACATGACTCAGTTCCTGAGGAGGAAGGGCCCCATCACAGTAAGAAGCATTTTCTCCTGTTCCACCCCAGCACCATTCCCCCCCAAGAGCAGGATTAGAGCCAGTGATGGGGCTGCCCAGCCCCTGCCGAGCCCCCATCTCCCCACATTACCCCACTCCTGTCAAAGTGGCACCAGCTCTATTTATGCAAAGCACAATAAATTACTTCCCCCCATTAGATGTGAGCTTGGCATCCAGTCCTTTCCCTGTTTGAGACCATAACTGGGCTTCTGCTCTGGAGCCAGGCTGAGAGAGCTGGGCTGGGGCAGCCTGGAGAAGAGAAGGCTCCTGAAGGGGAGACCTGAGAGCAGCTCCAGTGCCTAAAGGGGCTGCAGGAAACCTGGAGAGGGGCTTGGGACAAGGGATGTAGGGCCAGGCCAAGGGGAATGGCTTGAACCTGCCCGAGGGGAGACTGAGCTGAGCTCTTAGGCAGAAGCTCTTCCCTGTGAGGGTGCTGAGGCGCTGGCACAGGGTGCCCAGAGAAGCTGTGGCTGCCCCATCCCTGGCAGTGCTCAAGGCCAGGTTGGACACAGGGGCTTGGAGCAAGCTGCTCCAGTGGAAGGGGTTGGAGCTGGGTGAGCCCTTCCCCTGTCTTGCAAGAAAAGAGCCTTTCCCTCCCCCCTTATGTCATTCCTGTTTCAGAGCAAGGACCAGCTCGTTGCCTGTGCGAGGCAGATGGCTCTGGATGGGCAGAAGTTTGTCACCTTTGGCCGTGCCGTGGCCAAGCTCTGCCTGGACAGGAGGTGCTCCATGGAGCTGCTGTGTGCCACCGAGCAGGCCCTCACCATCAGCAGCCAGCTGGGCATCGTGGCCAGGTGAGGCACCTCTCCAAGGCTGCTGGGCTTGGGTCCTTGGGGGACGTGGGTCTAGCATTAGAGTTCCTCTTCCTGTTCCTGTAGACAGCCCTTTCCTCCTGTTTCCCTGGAAACCTGCTCTGATAGTGCAGGGAATGATCTGGGTTTGGACCAGGAGTAATGAACCACACGGGGGGAACACACCAATGTTCTTCCATGCTTTAAAATGTCTAAATGTCTCTGAAGGGTAAAAGCAGTCACTGCAGAAAGCAAATCCTCTTCTGAGCTGCTCGTGAGCAACACACAGAACCTGGTGCAGGCGGTTCTGCACGTCCTGAAGGCAGCTGAGGCAGCGTGTATCAAAGTAAGTTCATGCTGATGGCACCAGATGGGCTTTGCAAGGTGAGTCCGTGCTGGGGGGAGCTCTTACAGCCAAGGCTGGTGATGGGAGGTGGGAGCTGCCTGCTGAGGGACCTCTGCTTGCTCCTGTGATCATATTTCCTGCCTCTGCCTCGTTTCCACAGCCCACCACTCTTCTTTCCAAGCATCAATAGGCTCTGTCACTGCTACCAACTCTGAAGTCCTGTTAGCTCACCTGCCTCTTCACTTTTGGGCAGGGGAGCAGCAGCATCTCACTGGAAGCCTGTATTTGGAAATGGTCCATGTTGGCCTTAGCCTTTACGTTGTCTCAAGATGGGCTTTGATCAACACCCCCAAGAGCTTCCCTTGGGTGCCTGACTGATCTGACTGTACACAGTTTGTGAGAGCAGCTCTACCTGAAAGCACTCAGGGCCAAGCACAAGTACACCCACAGCCTCCTCTGAGGCAGTTTTCCACCCTCTGCCCAGTTTCCTGGGTACTCCTGCTTCTCCTGAGCTTTCTGAGTCTTTATGCAAGAGACACGTGTTGTTAGAGCCCACTGGATGAACATCAGCCAGGTGACAAAGCTCCTCCTGTGCTTAATTACTGTTAAGAGCATTATATATGTCCATTTCTCACTGATGTGATCCTGAAGGAACAAGCCACGCTCTTATTTTGACTGTCCAGATTACAAAGCCCTTTACAACCTGGCTTCTTCCCTTTGGAAATGTCCCTGAACTGACTCTACTGCATTCCTTTTCTCATTCTGTAAGCAGGTTTTGAAGCACTTTTAAGCATTTCTAAGGCATTAACAGGCAGAGAAGCCACACTGGTCCCGCACACATCGATACACTCAGACTTTTACATCATTCAAGGTGTTTTAAATGAGTTCATATACAATACATTAAAACATGCCCATATTGTGTCTCACAGGGTCTGCGCCAGCCCCCGCCTGACTCTGAGGAAGCAGCAGCAGCTGCTTTTTGCATGCAGTGGAGAAGAAACCTGTTCCTGCACAGAGCCAAGGAGTCCCTCACCTCAGACAGGGATGAACTGGGGCTGCGCAGGACTCGGGCCGGGGCTGAGCCCTCCCTGGTGGCGATGGTGCAGGACCAAGCACTGCACACCAAGGACACCTCCAAGCAGCCAAAGGCTGTTAAAGGATGTACAATTAGGGGTGGCCACCTGTGGAAAGAGGAAGGGGCTTGTGCTTCCTTTTGGTGAATGAACAGAGAATGATGCCACAACACAGGGCAGGCAGCCTGTGATGAGGCACCTTCACTGTTATCACTTTCAGTAGCACCCAAGATGCGAACAGAAGGAGGGAGGAACACACTGGTAGCAGCACCAGCAGATCTGGCTGGGGGGAATACGTAGGGACAGGCCAAGGGGAATGGCTTGAACCTGCCCGAGGGGAGACTGAGCTGAGCTCTTAGGCAGAAGCTCTTCCCTGTGAGGGTGCTGAGGCGCTGGCACAGGGTGCCCAGAGAAGCTGTGGCTGCCCCATCCCTGGCAGTGCTCAAGGCCAGGTTGGACACAGGGGCTTGGAGCAAGCTGCTCCAGTGGAAGGGGTCCCTGCCTGTGGCAGGGGTTGGAGCTGGAGGAGCTTTAAGGTCCCTTCCAACCCAAACCAGGCTGGGATCCTATGAAGGATCAGGGGTTCTATGAACAATCCAAAAGCTCTTCCAAAGCTGGAAGGTCCTTCTCAGGCCCTGATCTTTAGCACTTTATCAACTGTTTTTGCAGTCATCCCCTTTTCTTCTCAGGGTAACAATCCTAAATACTGCACAGGAAGGGCAGCCAGAGAGGTAGAGCCCTGCAGCAGGCTCATACACTAAACATGAAGTCAGGAGGGTAACATGCACTACAGAAGCTGCAGGAAAGATGCACTGAATGAGAAGGAAGCCTAAGGGAGTTAATTCAGGCATCACCGAGATCTGAAACACAAAACAGGAGTGCAATGGTTCTGTCTTTGCAAGAATAAATGGATTTCATTTGCACTACGAAGGATTTGTGTTGAGTCTTTTCATCACAGTAGGGAAATACAAACCAGGCTTTTTATCCTGGGGCTGCAAACCCAGGCAGTGACTGAGCAATGCTCAGTCCTCCCGCAGTGCAGGATGAGCCAAGACCAGACACCAACATCTGGCTCCTTCCCATCTCCAGGGATAGGAGTGGGGAGCATTGTCCTGCAAATCCCTCTCAGCCCTGGGTAAAACACTCATAGTGTATCACTCACCTCATGGGTATGGGCTTCTGGATACCCAGGACCAACACCACCAGCTGCTCCTGTTCCTGCTCTCCACTTCCATGCTTCCACAGCTGAGTGTGAGTTTCAAGCATCCAAGGGGAATGCTGCTCCATGCCAGCACGCTGCACTGGGGGAAGAGACAACACACAATGAATCCACGCAGCAGATCAGACGTGACTTGCTTGGTGGCTGTAGCAGGACTGTTCCCACGACAGCTCCAGCACCTTCCCCACATCAGATAGCTTCATACTTGCACTGTAGGGATGGATCTCCTCCGTGTTTCAGGACAGCAGCAGCAGCAGCACACCAGGGAATCTGTAAGGAATAAACCAACAAGCAGAGGTGGATGGAGGAGCCCAGCAGCATCCTGCAGCCCCTGGTGCTGTAGCTGGGAAATCCAATGGAGGCTGGATCTGGCAGGAGGAAGGAAGGAGGCAGTTACACATGGAGACAACAGGCTGCAAGCACCAGCTGCCCCCTTTCAACTTACCTGCGCCCCTTCTGTTCCAGAATGAAGAATGGTATTGGACTGAAGATAAAGAGATGGCAACAGACCCCTGGGGTAGCAGCCAGCCTCCTGTGTCCTCTACCAGAACACACCCTGCCACTCCCAAATGGGTCCATAACCACACCGATGGCAAAGCACCCAATATCCTGCAGTTACCTCAACTTTAAGAATTGCCATGTTGCTCTCAGGACCAAAGCTTTGCCTTTGACTCTTTATTTTTCTAGTACTTCCATCAAAATCCCCACAAAGAATCCTGTTTAGTGATGGCATCAACACAGGGAAGTTGTAACTCCAGGTTAGAGCTGCGCATCCTACAAGAATTCTGTGAAACCACCACCTGGCTTCAACACCATCCCTTCTTCCCTTTATTTCCCTATCAATCCATGTGCTGCTTCCAAGCTATTTTTCCCTGCTGGCTTGGGTTTTTTGATGAAACTCTTGAACAGCCAAACTTGTCACAAGATGAAGCAGTAATAAGTAGTTACACAGGACTGATAAACCACTCCAAACTAACAACCACATTTCACTCCTGTCATCTCATTTTCAATCATTTTGAGTTAGCACGATTCAAAATATCATCACATTAATGCTATTTATCACTGGGACACGAGGAAGGCAAATTGAAACCATCATTGCCCTCAGCAATGCCTCCTCTGCCATGTTTTGCACAGCCAAGCGAGACATTTCTATTCCTGCCCCTCTGGAACCCCAAACCTTGGGATCTGTGACAGAGATTGTGCTGTCCCAGCTGCAGGTGTGACCTCTGCCAACAGACACAGGGGCAAAGGTCCACTGAGGGAGAGCCAGAATGCACAGAAACATCCCAAGTGCTGGGGAGCAGGCGGCGACTGAAGGCACATCTTAATAAAGGAAAGGAAGCCAGCGAGGGGGGACAACGCTCCCTCCACAGCAAAAGCAGCCCAAAAAGGCCAGACCAAGAGGGGCATTGAGGTCACCTGTGCTCTCTGCATGCAACAGCTTCAGAACTGGAAGGACACGCACCACACTCCTCACAAGGATGCTGTATCGGAGGAGGAGAATGGCAACAAGGCACCTCCAAGCCAGCGGTTGCGAGCAGAGCAGTGGGTTGATACCATGTGCACTGGTGCAAGGTGTGTTTAAACCCCACTGCCTGTGACTGCAGTGTCACAGCACCCTGAGCCACTGCACTGCTCCTCCCCTGCCAACAGCACAGCCACCAGCCTTTATCTGTACCCTTTTTAATGGTTTTGTTAAAAATGTCATAAAGACACCATGAATACAAGTACTGCAGTTACATCCATACAAAAAAAGCAATACAAATTAAGCAGCTGAATACAAAAATACATTGAAATACATGAACACCACAAGGTAACTCAGAGCACTAATCAGAGGGGTGGAGGAGTGGAAAAAACTTAAATAAAACCCTTTTCTGTATTAGACAACTGAAGTATTCTCCACTTGGAACAGGACCTTCCTTCTAGCTCTGTACTTCACAATTTCTTCTATATACAGCATAGAATAAAATACTTTTAAAAGATATGACATTTTTCATCCTCAATATGCGATATAGGTCTCTTTTACACTAAGGATATTGAGCGGGTGAATAAAAACAATGTCTCACGTGTACTGATCTGAAAAGGAGGAGCAAAGTTTTTCCTCTTGAAAGCGTTTCCGTGGGGTCTGGAATCACTCGTTGGGTTTGGCTTGATGTGTCGGGCAATCCTGGTCAAAGCAATCCTTGCCTCTCCCAGTAAATGTACATAATATTGCTCGTGTCTATACAATCATACAAATGTGGCAATCAGATCTACATGGCCTTTATGAAAGAGACAGCTCACACATATACAGCTCCGGAGGGGGGGCTTCTTCATGGCTTATTTACAATGAAAGTGCTTGAATCAGCTCTAACACGATACATGGGAGGGGAAGGGGGGTTTCTACATGTCAATTATTAGTCTTCCCTGAACTTGGAAAAGTATTTCTATAGAAAATACCACAGCTTTGCAAACACTAGAGCGGACTGGAGGACTGCATGTGGTTCTGAGATTAGCAGCTGAAAAGTGTTGAGAATTATAATTTACAAATAAATAAAGCAAAGAGGTAAACCAGTTACAAAACAGCAGAAACCTGCGATATTCACAACGGTAAAAAGACTCGATCGCTAACAAAAGGGGGAAGCAGTGGGGTCAAAAGTCTTGAAAACATCTTTTAAGGACTTGTCATCTGACTCCCCGTCGGGATCGGGCTCCGGGGGCTGAGTTCCCTGCCCAGGCTGCCTGACCTGCCGGGGGTCGCTGTACTGGGGTCTGATGAGCCCCGACAATGCCTGGATGGGCAGGTTGTGCACCGCAGGGGCAGCGCTGGAGTGTTTCGCCTGAGGTTTGCTGCTGCTGCTGCTTGCTTTCTCCGGAGCAGCTTCTGTGGAGCCGGGTCCCTCTGGGGGTTTCTCCTTCTGCAGAGAGGAATCTTCCGGGGCACTGGGCTCGTTTTTCCCAGAATGTTTCAAAATGCTCTTTTTCTGGTTCTCTCCATTCTCTCCCGAAGCCGCTGGAGCCGCGTCCAGTGTCGAGCTGTGATCCCGTGGGTCATACAGACTGATACCGCCCAGGATGGAGCCCGGAGCTCCCAGCCTCCCCCCACTGGATGCCAGTTTGGGAGCGTAGGGAGGCAGATCATCCGGCTCAGCTTTAGCAGTGGCAGCCTCGGGGGGCTGTGAGGAGCCAGCAGCAGACCTGGCGAGGCGGGGGTCAAACTTGGCAGGGTGCGAGGGGTCCTTTGCGACCCCATGATGCGTGTCTGCACTCGACAGTCTGTGGAGCCTGGGATCAACGTTCTTTTGTAAGCGGGGATCTCCCAGCTTGCTGGAGCTGCTGGCATGGGAATCTGCAGCAGGATCCAAGTAGCTGCCCCGGGCTGCTAGGCTGTTCTTTGCCTTGGCAGCCAGGCGCGGGTCTGCCGGCGCAGCGCTCGCATGGGCATCGCTCTTCAAGCCTCGCAGCTTGTTCAGTCTCTGGTCAGCAATGAGGGGAGGGAGAGGTAAATTGATTGAAGAGACGGGGTCAGGCTTAGGCAGAGGTATGGGGAGCAAGTCCTCAGGTGCCCATACGATATGCTTAGCAAAGTTTGGCTTCATGAGGGTAACATCCATCTTAATGTGGCTGAACTGCCGGAGCTGGGATCGCGGGTCCCTCAGCGTCACGCCAGGCAAAGGCTCCAAGGGGATGAGGAAAGCTCGCTCCCGCAGTTCTCTCTCCGAGTCCTCTTCATCATCATCCATCCCCTTCTGCTTGGCCTTGCCCCCAGCGTGGTGCAGCTCAAGCTTTGCTCCCCCAAGGGCCGAGCTGCCGTGAGCACCTTCACTGACCTTGTGCATCCGGGGATCCCGCACGAGCCGCGGGTCCAGGGAGCCGGACTCCGAAGGCTTCCGCGGGTTGGACCTGGGAGAAGCCCTCAGCCTGGGGTCAGCAGCCTGGGGCCCTGCTCCCTTCTCCTTCGCCAGGCGGGGGTCAGTGGGAATTCCAAGCATGTGCTGCTCTGC